TTATATATAATAACGTTACAGTAAATTTACAAAAGCCAAGTTTAACCCACTATTTTCGGAAACAGTCTGTACCAAATCAGGGGGATATGACAGTTGCTTTCCTATCGTTCTATTCGAAGGTTTTTCATGTTTAATGGACTTCCTTATTTTGGAATTAACCTTGGAGTTTGGTATTTGTGTTAATACATTTTATTCTATATAATAACGTAACTTTTGTTGTTTTTTTTTGTTGTTTTTTTGTTGTTGTTTTTTTAAGTAAGTTTTTGTTTGTGCTCTGTACCGATCGGTTGAATTAATATAAAAATAAGAAGATGTGGTATGATTTCCAATAAGACAACTATCAAACAGATACCAAATGACAGAAAAGTTAACAACTATAGGTCACCGTATACATACGGCCTTTAACAATGAGCAAAACCCATTCCAAATAGTCAGTCCAGTTCCATCTGATTTTTATACATTTTTGTTCTGTTTGGCTGATACACTGATGTTCCAGGTTAACTTGTAAAAATTTGCTAATACCTTACAAAAAACATGTTTTAGATTCATTCTTCACACTAAGTCTTTTAATTTATTAGTCTAGAGCACTCTGCCATATTCTAAATCAGGCATATCTTACATACTTTTAACACCCGTTTGTCTAGTTTGACAATTGCTACTTAGGATTATTCATTACGATTAGTCTGTTTTGAATTTATTCGAACATATCCACAATTCCAATGACTTACCTGTGTTCAGGAACAATCTTAGAATAAATAAAGGCAACAGTAGTATACCGCTGTTCGAAACTCATAAATCGATAGAGATAAAAACAAATCCGGGCTACAAACTAAAACTGAGGGAAACGCATCAAATATAAGATGAGAACAACGACACAACAAAAACACTACATTAAAATGTAACACACACAGAAACGAACTATAATATAACAATGGCCATTTTCCTGACTTGGTACAGGACATTTTAAGATAAAAATGGTGGGTTGAACCTGGTTTATTGGCATGCCAAACCTCCCGCTTTTATGGCAACGTCAAACACAACACCAAAACGACAACATCACATGACAGGACCACAATACAAATAAATGGGAGAACATATAGGACAAAGAAACACACGAACAATAGCTAGCAGAATGTACTAGGCTTAAAATTCAATACGCCAGACGTACGTCTCGTCCACACAAGACCAACCAGTGACGCTCAGATAAAAAAAGTTTGAAAGCCAAAACAAGTACAAAGCTGAAGAGCACCAAAGACCAAAACTTCCAAAGAGTTGCGCCTAACACGGACAGGATTTTCTGCTTGGGACAAGAACATCCTTATTATTTAGAATAATTTATAATTTTGCAAACAGTAAATTTTATAAAATGACTATATAATAGATATACATGATAAAACCAAAGTGGGGACTAACTACAGAATAAAAACGGATACATTACATAAAACAACTTAATCCAACATATAAAAATACACAGCCGAGTTGGCTAAAGCCTCAACGCACAAAATAGATGTACATGTTTCAATTACATTATGGCATTAAATAATTTTATGTATGAAAGTACTTTATAATCGTCTTTATCTCAATGTTGTGTTTGTATATAATATATAAGTCCTCATTGAGCCTTTATTCAAGCGATATTTCCTAACATTTGCTTCAGATCACGGCGCGAAAATATTATTTTCAGTCGATATACACGCCATTTTGAAATTATTACTAAACAACCTTTAGTTATGGTTTGTTGCTTATTGGTGTGGCGAAGATTCTATCGGCTTAATTAAGTTCGAAAATTAGGAAAATGTCAGGAAGGGAGACAGAATTTACATGCGGATTGTCTGACAGTATGGGTATTCGAGACCCATCACTTCTCCTATGTATTATGTGTGCTGTATCAATATCATATCATCATTAATTAGATATACTATATGAAAATAGTAGCTTTGTTCACTGATGCGTGTACTCGATGCTGACCTATATCATGTATATTCAATTATTTGATATTAGTTTGTTAGAAGTTATTTGTTAAACTATCACATTATGGAATTTAAAAAGTATGGTTCTCAAATGTCACTTAAAAAAACAGTTCAACAAAACAACCAACACACAAGTGATAACGTAGAAAAGTTTGATGGGTATGAAATACCCGATAATATGTTTTGGAGTGATAAAAGGAAAACCAGACCTTCGCCGGCAAAACTTCACTATAAAAAGTATTATTTTGTCCTTGATAGGGTATTAAATTCCAAACCAATATTTAAACGAAATATACAAATCTTTTGGGCATTTATTTGGAATAATAAAGTGAAACAAATAGAAAGGAACATGTATAGTTAAGAGACTAAAACGGAATGGATTGGCATGATTAACTTTGTAATAGTAGACAAATGCAATGTTTATACAAGATCATTCACTCGGATGAAGAAACTTGGAATATTATAGGTAATTTTATACAAATGCCCATAACTCTTTTTCACAACGAAGGAAAGTATATTCACTCAATGAGAAAGAAGAAATACTGAAAAGGGCCCAAAAATGACTAGTGTAAAACCATTCAAATAGGAAAACCTATAAACCTAATCAACAAACGACAACAACTGAACATCAGGTTCCTGACTAAGGACAGGTGCAAACAAATGCAGTGGGTTTAAACGTTTTAATAGGTGCCAACCTTCCTTCACCTTAACCTGAAACAATAGTATAACATCACAAGATAGAACGACACACTATAAAGTATCAATTGAAATGGCTTAACTCAATCAAAAGACATATGAACAAAAACAAGTGAACATACACTAAAAGAATAAATTTGATCTATGACACAATGTCAACATGGTCAATACAAAGTTGATAAAAAAGGGGGTGAGATGTAAAACAATATCAGAAAGATAACCAAAACCTTGGACAAAATGCCGCCATATAAAATAACGTACACAGGTAACTAACAATAATTTTGTTGTAAGGTATACATGGCTAAGTACGGAAATATTGTTTACAAAATAAATAATTTTTTTGTTCATAGTACGAGAACAGAAGTGAAAATTTATCGTCATACCAAACACTTATCAAAGGTGGTATATATTAAAAATAGTGAGACGAAATATAACATTAACATTATTAAGTAAGTAAACATTAAATAACAAACCTGCATTACAAATTGTATCAACAGGTCAAATTAACACAAAAGTACGATTTGAGAGAACTCGCAGTTACTGAAGGCTAGTTAAAAGCCAAACACAATTAATGATAAAAAATCATGCATCAGACTTTAAATCAACTGAAACACATCCCAGGGATTTAGTGTTTTAACGTCATGGACAGTCAAAGAAGACATGACTTGCGCAATGCCAAAATAAAAGTATCGACAGGCAGTAGGATAGTTAGGAGTTTACCTTTTAATAAATATGTATAATGTTATACATAGATAAAGTAATCTCTATATAGAAAATGAACGTGGATGTTTATTTATACTTCCCAAAAAACCGTTTGAAAAGAATACAAATTTAGTTATGTTTTAATTTGCTGATGACAAAATCGATATTTGTGCCAATGTAAATATATTCAAAGATCTATTTACAAAATTGGTAAGATAACCTTAACTAATAAGTTTGTTTAAAGGTTCGATGAGTTTACACATAGTGATTTCCGCGCTTTTAGTACAATATTACCGTAAAATTTAAGATGTGAAATTCCGTTTTCAATAAGTTTTCTACAGGTGCAGCCAAATTTACTAATCAAATCTTTGTTTCTATGAAAGAATTTAGTAAAAGTTTTAAGTAATTTATGGTAACGAAATCCCTGACTTACCAGTGATGCATTGATTACGTTCGATTAAATCTATGACATCACTACACACACGGGCATAACGAGCGAGTTGGGATATATAAACACCGTATGATGGAGCCAAAGGAACATCGCCGTCAAAAAAAGGAAAATTAACAATAGGGAATGAAAAATCGTCTCTTTTGTCGTAACTTTTAGTATGGAGTCTCCCTTTAGAAATTGAAATGTCTAAATCTAGAAAAGGACTGTGTTTGCTTGCACCAAACCCACCCCCTTTTAAACCTGGGACAGTAGTGTAACATTAAACAAGCTATTAAAATCAGTTGAAAAGTGCTTAACTCATTAGATCGATACAGAGTAGATAAAACAACCAGCGAGAAAAAAAACACAGACCGGATTTGGCAGGGAATTTGTAAATCCCTCACACACAAACAAAAACACAAAGTACAGATCTAAGAGGTCTCACAGTACTGGCAGCTAGTTCAAAGCCAAAAACCACTCATCGAAAATCATGTTTCTAAGACAGTATAAATTTTGAAATCAGTTATTTGTTAAACGTAGACAAATTGTTAATCACAACAAAAAGAGAAATTTTAAACACAATGCCATGCTTGTGTAGGTGTATAAAAAGCAAACAAATCAAACTTATCAAAGCTACAGATGGGTGCGGTCCTAACCTTGACAAAAGTTAACTTGGAGCAGACTTGTTGACTGCTTTCTAAGTTAACTTGAGAATTTTTAAGCAGACAAGCAAGTTAACTTCGTCGTTGGTAGACCAGACCTACGGTCTGCTTTTTTAGGACTGCTGCAGACCTATCGACAAGTCTGCTCCAGACCAGACCTGTGGACAAGTCTGCTTTTAACCAGTCCTGTGGACAGGTCTGCTTCTGACCAGACCTGTGGACAAGTCTGCTATTGACCAGACCTGTCTGCTTATGACAGATTATCGTGTTTAAGAGTTTTCATATCAGACTTGAGCTTTAATTAAAATATGTAAACAATATTCGCATTGTTTTTCCCCACAGAGCAAATTTCTTTACCCGCTAGACTCTACTAGATATTATACAAAATTCTTTTTTTTTATTTGATATATTCTTATATACATAAACAAAAATGGCTATACAATAAAATAGAGCTATCATAAAGGAAATGAGAGTTGGTTTTTATATTAGAAGGCGGATAGAAAGGTTATCCAACGCATCGGAACAATATTCTTATATCATGGGATATCAACATCATTGTCGACGTTGCTTCGTTCCCCGTTTTTACCTGTCTCTTTCTAAATTTTACTTTATGCATTTATTCATGCATGGATATTTCATTGTTATTCAACTTGTTTGCATTGGATTTACTATTCTATTTTCCGCAGAATATTCTAAAGATAATTGTACAGTGTCCGGATACATAGTACGGTGTGGTAAAACTATCAACAATCTCGTCAAATTCGTCAGATTTGTCGAGAGATTCAAAATGTCTTTGCCGATTAATTGATATATGGGAAGTCCCAAAATTATACTCAATGTGCACTTGAATGAAATAGTTGCCACTTGACGTTTAACTACAAACAAAATTAATCAACCGACATAATAGATTAACAGTACACTATTCCCAGAAGAGAACCTCATACTTTTTTATTAAAAAGTACAAATGAATTCAGACATGTCAGTGTTGGTACTTGGATGATGCGGCCTAGTAGTTTTGTTTTACACACCATCCTGAATTACTATCTCTAGTGACTGTTCAATATTATGAATACAGAGATGAAATGCTGACACTCTCAATTTATGCGGAAAAAATTTTGCATTAATTGTTTTCCAATATTATTGCTTACATTTGCGGTCCTACTAAAATGTGCACAGGAGCGCCAGGAGAAGACATAAAGGCGCTAGGAACAATACTATGCGGGTACATAGATTTACAAATTAATGTGCACATATGGTCAGTTTTGGTTGAAACGGTCAAATAATTTTGTTGTACAAGTCAGCATGAGGTATCAAAACTACTGAAATTTTGTTACGTATCAATATTTTGAATAAAAGGTGGACATGCTGGCACCCTAAATTGATGCCAACAAAAATTTGATGTTATTGTATTGCAATATTGCTGTCCATTGTACATGTTGTATTATACATTGAATCTAGACATAATAAATATGGCTGATTTACTATGCGGGTATATAGATTTACAAATTAAAGTGCACATATGGTCAGTTTTGGTCGATGCGGTCAAATAATTTTGTTGTACAAGTCAGCATGAGGTATCAAAACTACTGAAATTTTGTTACGTATCAATATTTTGAATAAAAGGAGGACATGCTGGCACCATAAATTTATGCGAACAAAAATTTGTTGTTATTGTATTGCAATATTGCTGTCCATTGTATTATACATTGAATCCTGACATAAAAAATATGGCTGATTTTCTATGCGGGTATATAGATTTACAAATTAAAGTGCACATATGGTCAGTTTTGGTAGATGCAGTCAAATAATTTTGTTGTACAAGTCAGCATGAGGTATCAAAACTACTGAAATTTTGTTGCATATCAATATTTTGAATAAAAGGAGGACAGGCTGGCACCCTATATTTATGCGAACAAAAATTTGTTGTTATTGTATTGCAATATTGCTGTCCATTGTATTATACATTGAATCCTGACATAAAAAATATGGCTGATTTACTATGCCAGTATATAAATTTACAAATTAAAGTGCACATATGGTCAGTTTTGGTAGATGCAGTCAAATAATTTTGTTGTACAAGTCAGCATGAGGTATCAAAACTACTAAAATGTTGTTACATATCAATATTTTGAATAAAAGGAGGACATGCTGGTACCCTAAGTTGATGCGAACAAAAATTTGTTGTTATTGTATTGCAATATTGCTGTCCATTGTACATGTTGTATTATACATTGAATCCTGACATAAAAAATTTGGCTGATTTACTATGCGGGTATATAGATTTACAAATTAAAGTGCACATATGGTTAGTTTTGGTCGATGCGGTCAAATAATTGTGTTGTACATGTCAGCATGAGGTATCAAAACTACTGAAATTTTGTTACGTATCAATATTTTGAATAAAAGGAGGACATGCTGGCACCCTAAGATTATGCGAACAAAAAATGTGTTGTTATTGTATTGCAATATTGCTGTCCATTGTATTATACATTGAATCCTGACATAAAAAATATGGCTGATTTACTATGCGGGTATATAGATTTACAAATTAAAGTGCACATATGGTCAGTTTTGGTCGATGCGGTCAAATAATTTTGTTGTACAAGTCAGCATGAGGTATCAAAACTACTGAAATTTTGTTACGTATCAATATTTTGAATAAAAGGAGGACATGCTGGCACCCTGAATTGATGCGAACAAAAATTTGCTATTATTGTATTGCAATATTGCTGTCCATTGTATTATACATTGAATCCTGACATAAAAAATATGGCCGATTTACTATGCGGGTATATAGATTTACAAATTTAAGTGCTCATATGGTCAGTTTTGGTCGATGCGGTCAAATAATTTTGTTGTACAAGTCAGCATGAGGTATCAAAATTACTGAAATTTTGTTACGTATCAATATTTTGAATACAAGGAGGACATGCTGGCACTCAATATTTATGCGAACAAAAATTTGTTGTTATTGTATTGCAATATTGCTGTCCATTGTATTATACATTGAATCCTGACATAAAAAATATGGCTGATTTACTATGCGGGTATATAGATTTGCAAATTAAAGTGCACATATGGTCAGTTTTGGTAGATGCAGTCATATAATTTTGTTGTACAAGTCAGCATGAGGTATCAAAACTACTGAAATTTTGTTGCATATCAATATTTTAAATAAAAGGAGGACATGCTGGCACCCTTAATTTATGCGAACAAAAATTTGTTGTTATTGTATTGCAATATTGCTGTCCATTGTATCATACATTGAATCCTGACATACAAAATATTGTCGATTTACTATGCGGGTATATAGATTTACAAATTAAAGTGCACATATGGTCAGTTTTGGTAGATGCGGTCAAATAATTTTGTTGTACAAGTCAGCATGAAGTATCAAACTACTGAAATTTTGTTACGTATCAATATTTTGAATAAAAGGTGGACATGCTGGCACCATAAATTTATGCCAACAAAAATTTGATGTTATTGTATTGCAATATTGCTGTCCATTGTACATGTTGTATTTATTATACATTGAATCCTGACATAAAAAAAATATGGCTGATTTACTATGCGGGTATATAGATTTACAAATTAAAGTGCACATATGGTCAGTTTTGGTAGATGCAGTCAAATAATTTTGTTGTACAAGTCAGCATGAGGTAACAAAACTACTAAAATTTTGTTACATATCAATATTTTGAATAAAAGGAAGACATGCTGGCACCCTAAATTTATGCGAACAAAAATTTGTTGTTATTGTATTGCAATATTGCTGTCCATTGTATAATACATTAAATCCTGACATAATAAATATGGCTGATTTACTATGCGGGTATATAGATTTACAAATTAAAGTGCACATATGGTCAGTTTTGGTCGATGCGGTCAAATAATTTTGTTGTACAAGTCAGCATGAGGTATCAAAACTACTGAAATTTTGTTACGTATCAATATTTTGAATAAAAGGAGGACATGCTGGCACCATAAATTTATGCGAACAAAAATTTGTTGTTATTGTATTGCAATATTGCTGTCCATTGTATTATACATTGAATCCTGACATAAAAAATATGGCTGATTTACTATGCGGGTATATAGATTTGCAAATTAAAGTGCACATATGGTCAGTTTTGGTAGATGCAGTCAAATAATTTTGTTGTACAAGTCAGCATGAGGTATCAAAACTACTGAAATTTTGTTGCATATTAATATTTTGAATAAAAGGAGGACATGCTGGCACCCTAAATTTATGCGAACAAAAATTTGTTGTTATTGTATTGCAATATTGCTGTCCATTGTATAATACATTAAATTCTGAAATAATAAATATGGCTGATTTACTATGAGGGTATATAGATTTACAAATTTAAGTGCACATATGGTCAGTATTGGTCGATGCGGTCAAATAATTTTGTTGTACAAGTCAGCATGAAGTATCAAAACTACTGAAATTTTGTTACGTATCAATATTTTGAATAAAAGGTGGACATGCTGGCACCTAAATTGATGCCAACAAAAATTTGTTGTTATTGTATTGCAATATTGCTGTCCATTGTATTATACATTGAATCCTGACATACAAAATATTGTCGATTTACTATGCGGGTATATAGATTTACAAATTAAAGTGCACATATGGTCAGTTTTGGTAGATGCGGTCAAATAATTTTGTTGTACAAGTCAGCATGAGGTATCAAAACTACTGAAATTTTGTTACATATCAATATTTTGAATAAAAGGAGGACATGCTGGCACCCTAAATTTATGCGAACAAAAATTTGTTGTTATTGTATTGCAATATTGCTGTCCATTGTATAATACATTAAATCCTGAAATAATAAATATGGCTGATTTACTATTCGGGTATATAGATTTACAAATTTAAGTGCACATATGGTCAGTATTGGTCGATGTTGTCAAATAATTTTGTTGTACAAGTCAGCATGAAGTATCAAAACTACTGAAATTTTGTTAGGTATCAATGTTTTGATTAAAAGGTGGACATGCTGGCACCTTAAATTTATGCGAACAAAAATTTGTTGTTATTGTATTGCAATATTGCTGTCCATTGTATTATACATTGAATCCTGACATAAAAAATATGGCTGATTTACTATGCGGGTATATAGATTTACACATTAAAGTGCACATATGGTCAGTTTTGGTCGATGCGGTCAAATAATTTTGTTGTACAAGTCAGCATGAGCATGATGAGGTATCAAAACTACTGAAATTTTGTTATATATCAATATTTTAAATAAAAGGAGGACATGCTGGCACCCTGAATTGATGCGAACAAAAATTTGTTGTTATTGTATTGCAATATTGCTGTCCATTGTATAATACATTAAATCCTGAAATAATAAATATGGCTGATTTACTATGCGGGTATATAGATTTACAAATTTAAGTGCACATATGGTCAGTATTGGTCGATGCGGTCAAATAATTTTGTTGTACAAGTCAGCATGAAGTATCAAAACTACTGAAATTTTGTTACGTATCAATATTTTAAATAAAAGGAGGACATGCTGGCACCCTAAATTTATGCGAACAAAAATTTGTTGTTATTGTATTGCAATATTGCTGTCCATTGTATTATACATTGAATCCTGACATAAAAAATATGGCTGATTTACTATGAGGGTATATAGATTTACAAATGAAAGTGCACATATGGTCAGTTTTGGTCGATGCGGTCAAATAATTTTGTTGTACAAGTCAGCATGAAGTATCAAAACTACTGAAATTTTGTTACGTATCAATATTTCAAATAAAAGGAGGACATGCTGGCACCCTGAATTTATGCGAACAAAAATTTGTTGTTATTGTATTGCAATATTGCTGTCCATTGTATTATACATTGAATCCTGACATAAATAATATGGCTGATTTACTATGCCAGTATATAGATTTACAAATTAAAGTGCACATATGGTCAGTTTTGGTTGATGCGGTCAAATAATTTTGTTGTACAAGTCAGCATGAGGTATCAAAACTACTGAAATTTTGTTACGTATCAATATTTTGAATAAAAGGAGGACATAATGGCAACCTAAATTTATTCGAAAAAAAAATTGTTGTTATTGTATTTCAATATTGCTGTCATTTGTATTACACATTGAACCCCGACATAAAAATGTGGCTGATTTAATATGTGGGTATATAGATTTACAAATTAAAGTGCACATATGGTCTGTGTTGGTCGATGCGGTCAAATAATTTTGTTGTACAAGTCAGCATGAGGTATCAAAACTACTGAAATTTTGTTACGTATCAATATTTTGAATAAAAGGAGGACATGCTGGCACCCTAAATTCATGCGAACAAAAATTTTAGTCATGTGTGTAAATGATGCTTTCATTTTGTATAATAAATTCTATCCTGAAATTAAAATATTGCTGATTGTGGCTACATAGATCAAGGACGTTTAACTAACAAGGACGTATAACTAACATCTAATATACGTCCTTTCATAAATATACATAATAAAGTGCAAATATGGTTGAATTTGATAGGTATTGGAATATATATATTCAATGCCCGTTATCATTGTAACCAAGATCGTTTTTTAATTTATAGATTGGCAGATCACAGATAAATTTGTGTTACAAGCAACGTTTTATGTGTACTTTATTTTCAAATATTTATATTTAATCCTGTTTATAAAATAACGGAAGTACTAATTTTACTTTATTTTCGATGTTTATACTACGAAACAAATTAAGATATTGAAAAATATTATTATAAAATCGATGTAGAGCGGTCCTAGTTACAAGTTAACTTAGTGTTGAGCAGACCAGTCAAAAGTTAACTTGGGAACAGGTCTGGTTTCGATCGAATTTGTCAAAGCAAAAGTTAACTTATGTTAACTTTGTGGCAGGACTGGTTTCGAAGTTAACTTATGTTAACTTTAGGGCAGGACTAGTTTCGAAGTTAACTTATGTTAACTTATGACAGGACTGGTTCGAAGTTAACTTATATCAATAGCGGACCTGTTTCCAAGTTAACTTTTTGGCAGACATAAAAACAGTCCTATGACCAAGTCCGCTTTTCAAGTTAACAAGATTATGGTCCTAGGACTGGTCAGAGCAGTCCTAAATCCGGTCACAGGTTAACTTTGACCAGTCCAAATGACTGGTTATCAAGTTAACTTGCTGTACAGGTTAGGACTGCACCTATCTGTATCAAGAAAAGAAGACCGATTCGTGAGTAACCTTTGCATCTCTAGGAAACTTATATTAATCCATTTTTAGTAACTTGTAATAAACCAACGAGGCACCCTTAAAAAGTATTAAAGCCAACACAGTTTAGTATATTCATTCAAATTGTTTGTTCACTCGAGTGAAATCTGTAGCCAGAAAAAAAAAGAAAGGTTAAGCAACAAACAATCAATCAATCAGTCAAACGCTGTAGCGTGCTTGCCCTGAGTGAGGGAAGTTATGGGTTCGATCCCAGGCCAAGTAAAACCAAATATTTGAAAATTGGTATTTGTTACTTTTCTGCTTAATACTAGGCATCTGGCAGTAAGAGCCCAGACTGTTCGGCTCGGAGTCAGAACAATGGCTCATGTCTTCCTGTGGTCTGTTTTCGTGTTATCTAGCATGTTAAAAATCTGGCTCAGGATGCCGGTATTGTAAAAACCAGGGTTCATATTCATATCACCATCTAGTTTATGCCATGATTTAACATTTTCTAATTTTATATTTAATGCATTCTTGAAGTTATTTTATGTCTCGTTATCTCAACTCGTCGTCGCCATCAGCACTTATCAATAACAGCTATTGCGTCAACCTCTAACTGCGCTCCCTGAAAAATAAGGTTGACAAACTTTTAAATTATTGATTAAATATATATATATAAAAATAAAATACTAACACCTGTCTAAAACATAAATTAACACAACTTTTTCTTATTTCATTAGACATACAAAACAAGCGGTACATGTATGCATATTGTTTGCCGTTTTCTTATTTTCATTCGTTACAAAAATGGTTGATTAATATGACTACAGTTGTAAGACCTAAATTGCAATCTTTGGAAATAGAATATCAAAAGTGCAAAATGAACAAATCATAACACAAAGACAAAAAGTAAAAACCATTGAACAGAAAACCTCAGATTGACCACCAACAAGCTTACAAACAAAGGGGCGCCCCAGAATGGTTGACAATTGTCTGAGATAATAATTCGTTCCATAACAGATTGGTTGTCTTATTTTGTCAAAGCCTAGGGTGCTGCTAATCCATAAAGTATCGAGAATTGTAAGTTAAATCTACATTCATGACAACATAATCGTATAAATAAGTAATATGCCTTCCATTATCTATGTTTACTTAGGCTCATGTTTCCATCGACACCAATACCTTGCACATCTATCTATTTATTATTATAGCACTATAAGAAAATGTACAGAGGACTTCACCAATATATCACAAGTCAGATTCGGACAACATTGGTCATTGACTGTTTCGGAATCTAAAGGACTTTGGTTGATTAAATTGATCATACTGCAAAATGCAAATAACGTCACGTCATTATTTGAATTGCCATTGTTCAGGACGTATTGAATCAATCCCGACGTTTTCATGGTTTTGGTGTACACTTTTGAGAATATTACCCAGAATGCATTAGATTCTGAAACGGCGAGTTATTGATAGGTTACCAATTGACATTTTACTTAATGGCTCATCATGATTTTGTAACATTTCAAAGACCGTGGTTGATAGAAACAAGAACCCTTAACAAATTTTGATGTACTAAGATATGCAGTAAAGGACGTCGTTTCAATCTTTTATACTTATTAGCCAAATTGTTCACATGAAACACAATTTCGTTGATAAGTCGGAAAGTCATCAATCAACTACTTCAGCAATAACCTAAAAAATTAAGATACAATTACTTACTATTGATATTGCTACTACTTGACAAGATGATCTAGCAGGGAAATTCTTTGGAAAGTCTGAAAATTATACAATATTATAAAATACATACATAAGTAATAATCTTTAAATAAGTCACTACGACAACTCAAATCGTGACATATAACAAATCAACATACAAAAAAGAGGACAGTTTGTAATAAAATAGTTAAATAAAGACCCAAATGAGTTCAGTATTAAAATGAAAGTTTAAATTTCATTACTACGGGTAAAAATTACAATACTTGAGGTGGCAAGGCATTCTTTATTTTCCGGGAACTAGGTTGCTCTTTTGTGTACTGAGATCAATGTATCAAAACACTGTGATTTGACAAAAAAAATAGCAACATTGTTTCCCAAGCTGAGGAATGAATCATTTGTAGAAAAATATGAAATAGTTTCCCATACAGGTGAAAATGAATTTTGGAGAATTTTTCTTTTTATTTTGTATTCACTGCATGATAAAAAAACAACCTAAAAGCACTATTGGCCTTTGGTTTGTAAAGAGAGCAGAAAAATAAACGATTATCATATCAAATTTGTTTCTGAATATTATAGTTAAAGTACTTCTGTTGACTGTGTATGCAGGTTCTGGGTCAGTGTTAGAACGTGGAGAAAATACTAAAAAGGCTATCATTATCTCTATGACCACCGAATTGAAAAGATTATAGTCGTATGGATTGATCCCGCGGATTGTTTCCTCTTGGTTGAAATATTAAAAATGTATAAATGAGTAACCCGTATAATCCAATCAGTATATTCCGCTAACTTCGATCACTCTTTTACCGAGAAATGATAATGGATACAGGGTGCTGAATTGTTCGAGTTAACTAATGAGTTACCTCATATTCAAATTATAAACTTTACACTCACATTTCATATAGACTGCATTAAACGCAGAATACTCTCTTAAATCTGTCAGAAAAACTGTTACTTTGACAACTGAAACATAGATAATACGGTTCTGATTTATGTATATAATTGTTGATTGTAATTTTCTTTCAATAGCAAAAGTATATTATCACATGTGTATTAATAAGACATTCATAAAAGAATTGAATTCACCCTCACATACATTGGAATACTTGCATGTACATACAGAATAATTCACTATCGATAATAATATGCTGGTATGTCTTAAATAAGATTAGTTTGTTTACTTATAGGAAATACATACACTAATAATGATACACTAAGTGTCAAACAATATTTCATAGTCACATTGTATGAAGGTCGGAGGGAGTGTCATCCCAATTTCCCGTAAAAATCAACGTTGAATACCAAATTCCGGAAGATTTAATCATACATTCCTTAGTCTCGATACGTGTATATCTTAAATTTCCACAAAAGAATCCAAACGTCCCCGAAAAGGTCCTCCCGCTTCTCTTTAGTGCCTTCAAATATTTCATATTCATATTTCTATACTAGAAGAACTTACTAAGACAACGGAAAACATGAATATAATAATTTTTCAATCTTAGTATTTAAATATATGTTGTATTTGATGATAATACATAACATATATAAAGGTGGAGACTAAACACGAATGCGGCCACTTACATTTTAGACAAAAACCATCTCAAAAGTGATGTTTTATGGCATATTTGATAGATTTTTTTCATATTTTTGCTTGCATTTGAGCGTCTTTAAATCCAAATCAGTTCAAATCTTTTACACAAACTAATTGAATCGACTGAAGTAGACACTGAAGTGTTTAAAAAATGTCAAAAATCTTTCATCGGATGTACTTCGAATCTTAGATCAAAACTAGCCCTTACCGGACCTTCTCCATTGATTTGTTCTCATCCTTAATGTCTATTAATATTTGCCACTGGGTGTTAAACAAGCAACAATAAGCAATTCATCAATCTATCCAAATAATTGATAAATATTACGTATGCCAGAAACGGAGTATAATTGATTTTTCAGTATATTTTCATTATTCTTATTCTTATTCTTTTTTATTATTATTACTATTACTATTATTATTATTATTATTATTATTATTATTATTATTATTATTATTTATTTTTTTATTATTATTATTATTATTATTATTATTATTATTATTATTTTTTTTTTTTTTTTTTTTTTTTTTTTATTATTATTATCATTATTATTATTAATATTACAATGAATGAACTCACCATCCTTTAAACTACCACCAGCAGCCTCTAATATAGCACGAAAATTCTTGAATATCTGTAGAATGAAACTTTTGTAACTAATTACGCCGCATTTAGAAACGCTATGAAAATTTCAGTAGATGATAAAAGATGAAAACAATTGTATTGTGTTTTGGCTACTTCCTTTTAGCATAAGATTGAACTATTTTCTATTGTCTGTATGTGTATTAGTATGTGACAACTTTACGACTGACGTTTTGATCAGGTATCCAAGAGTTATACCATGTATACAGTGCTAATGCTCCAATACTTCGTCTGAAATTTAACCCCAAAACTCTGTTTACCTTTGCAAATATGTTTTCTTTACTCTGTTTTCCGTTCTTGATAACACTAGCAGAATTCAATGATTAATTCACACCTAACGATCACTCCATACACAAAATATTGTTGACCTATTGCTTATGGTAGAAAATGTATATAAGAAACAGATGTAATCAAGAAAACTTTACATTGCCAATAAAGAATTAAAAAGGAGATTAAGGTCAGAAGATACAAGCCAGACAGAAATGTACAGCTTACAATCATTCCATGCACCAACTATAGTTTACCTATTGCTTAAAGTATCTCGGAAACCATTGATTAAAGTGACTTAACCAGGAAAACTTAAAATTGACCAATAAACCTTGTAAATAGGGTCATGGTTAGATGAACCCTTCCAGACAAAGTAGTTGTTGTATGGAATACATTTTCATAACGATTTGTGCTCACCTGTTCAGTTTCAGGAATAAGACCACCTGGAACCAGTTGAAGTGTGACAGGGTCTACTCCTAATTGTCCAGACATGTATAGAGTATTTCCCGCCAAAACAGCTTGACTTCAAAAATTAAAACATTGAAATAAGTCATGAAAAGAAAACAACAAAAGTACATATGTGTTTCAGAGTTGTCCACATGTCCAGCATTCTGCGACTAATAATATATATGTTTAGCTAAAGTCTTCTGAAATAGAAATAAAAAAATATATATCTAACTCTGACTGTGTAATAATATTTGGAATTATAGGAAATAGTTGAACGAGGTATAGAACCTGTCACACTTCAACTGGTTTCTGGTGGTATTATTTGAAATGTAATAACACGGTCAGATTCAAATATATTTCTGTTTTTTTTGTTTTTTTTTTTTATTTCAGAAAACTTTATCTTAGTATATATATTATATTTGGTATTTTTGAAGGGACTAACATTTAATATCTGGGCGGAGGCATGAGGATTTTAACAATATCTACAATTAAATATTTATATTAACAGCGCTTTAGCCTATTTAATGTGTTTTAATACTCTTTCATGGCTGTTCATATCTATCTATTTATTCCAAGAATAAGAATGAGTTTTTATTCAAAGAAGGGTTAAGGCTCTCATTTGTAAAACATTTTGCAATACTCGGAGTACAAAATATGTGCTCAAAACACCAAAACCAGTATTTTGATATTTCTGAGTCTGTGTACGATAACCGTGCGGTTTTTTTATGACCACAAGGCCATGTTCCAGGTTGTTCTGACTTTCATTTGCGCTCATAATAAATTTTTCTATTTTTGCCAATTCAGGCGAACAAAGATAAGATGACACTGCATACGATATAATGTAGCTTTTGCACATCGAGAAAAGTCGGGAAAACAATCAGATTAATCTTCGTTGAACATTCCTATTGGTGTCACAGTGCATTTCAACTGTTATTTACAAATATTCTATTAGGACGGATTGTAGAATATGTTAAATATCTCCAAAATTAACATTTTATAAGAAGGTCATATGTGAGTTAGTGGATTGAGTTTACAGAATAGAGGATTGTGGAAAATAAAGAATGGAGGATATCATGGATTTTGAGCCATAGAAATCAAAAAGAGAGAACAATGGGCGGAATTTACAAAACAAAAATAAAGGTCCAATCCAAAAGTTCCCAAAAAGTTCCTTCCGCCTCTCACAAGTGCTTTCAAATATTTTACATTCACCTTTCTATTCCAGAAGAACTGTCACGTTGAAAAGTGAACACATAAATGATACATATGACACGAAAAACAGATATGACAGACATAAACCTACGACAACCACTAAATTGTCGCTCCCAATTTGGGAAGGATATATAAAAAAAAAAAATGGGCATGGTTCAACATGTTTGTGATTGCTGAAAAAAACTAAAAAAATCCCCTTCTGAATGAGAACATGCAAACAAACATTAAAAAATCAGTCGGAAATGACTTGAACCATCAGATCTGCTCGAAGTACAAAAAACAACTGAAATCAAGACAAAAAACACAGAGTATCGATCAGAGTTCTTGTAGTTACTGCTAGATAGTTTGTAAACAAATTATACATCTATCACGTTCTGCCAGACTAGAGTTTCAATCATTAAACATCCAACAGATTTAGTGCAAAGACTTCAGAAACAATCTATGATGTTTACGATCAGACACTCATTTAAGAACATACTAATCTAGAATGAACACATGTTTAATAAAGGAATCAATAGATGATTGATTGATAAATTTTTAGTTGTGTTCAGAGGCAAATATGTTCATGCATATTCAGAACAAAACCACATTAACACCAATTTTGCAAGGTGATTTGAGAGTTTCGACTGCATTTTTATTTTCAAAGCTGCTCCTAGCGGCAATTGTACGACAATATTATTCTCCCAACCATCTTCCTCAAACTAGTTTTCTTTATTTATCGTGACTATTTTTTCTTTTTTTTTTATTTTTGACAGATTTCTTGGATTATGTTTTTATTTGTTTGTTACTTTGTGGTATAATCATTTAGTTTTGAGTAATACATTACCTGAAAGGTAAAGGGATTATTGGAGCTTTGTCTGTTTCAATTATTTTTTTCGTAACTGGTTTACAGTATGGTTTGTGTCTCGAACACGGTGTCTGAAACAAAACGAAGAAGCGACATAAGTACACATATTAATAGATATTGCTACATTTTTTTTTATATGGAACACTATTACTGTATTTTTTTTTTATTTTGTCATTTTTATAGACTACCACTTTTTGAAATTGCCTTGGAGTTCGTTATTTTTGTCATACTTTTATATGGTAATGTTTTTGATGTGGAACCACATAAAATGATATAATAAAAGTACATATTATCAAAAAGAAAAAGAAAACAACTATATTATATCGTACAAAATCACTACCTTAGACAGTAATGGGGTTCAATATTTGTGTAATTATATTTAATCAACTCGGATTTATTATTATGTTGTTGTAAGCGAATATATATGTCATAATATATCTAAAAGGAAAATGGGGATGCAAATGGAATATCAAAAGGGCTTTTAAACAGTTTCTTCCTGATTGGCCAACTTTTATCAAATTACAGGTAAAAAAGGAATGAAATTGTGCGGGACAATCGGGAAGATGTTAATGGGACAATTGGGAAGTATAAATATTGGACAATCGGCAACTTGTGTGATAGTCATTTATTAGTGTAGCATATATTTATAGATAATTAATCAATGTAACTTATTAGAATTGAAATAAACATGCAGAAAAGTTGGTATTTACATACTTTATTTTGTTGATTGATATTTAGTTAAACTACCTTTCAAATTAAGAAGAATAATAGCTGAAAGCATGTGTAACCCATCTCCAGCTAAGGGGTTAAATTAAAGGTCACATGAATACAGATTCAATGAGTTTAAATTATCGACTTGCAAGTAAATAATACATCAGCGATGTTTTTGTGACTATTTTTATAAATTTGGTCCAAACTGACGGCTTATAACGAAATATTATTTTCAAATTCCACTTTCATTTATACTTGAAACAAAAAGAACCGCATATTTAATTTTGATTTGAATCGTAGCTTTAAGCCCTTAAATTTTCGCTACTTTTGAAATTATGAACAATTTAATTCAAAATCTTAGTATGTTTTAACTTCACAGAAGATAAAATGGACTCCAATAACATAAATTGTAAATTGAACAAAAAGACAATTGAATATTTTAGAAGAATCACAGATAAAATTGGAATAATAGATGTGTTTAGAGAAATAAAAAGATATAAGAATAATTTCACATGTTACAATATTTCGAAGACTTGTTATTAAATTGGCAGGTTTTAGGCTAATTATAAATATATTCATGAAACAAAGAAATAAAACATATTCCACATACAAAATCTGATCATAAAATTGTTTTCAAGTAAACTTTCAATTCAAGCGACACGAATGGGGAAAGATTGTTTGGAAAAAAGATTGATAAGAAAATCCTTCAATAAAAAAATCATCAACATAAAATCAAATGATTTGCAGCCATGTCAATTGTAAAGATATATGGTCTGACATGAACAATATAAAATGCAATTATCTCACAGGACAGACATCCGTTCATCTTTTCCAGTAAAATTAGATATGTTATAAATGTTCAAAGCACACTGGTGACATTACTAGGACACATATACATTCTTCTTAAGAGAGAATATAGATTCAGTCATTGTCCTCTAATAATTTAAATCATGTTAATTCAAATTATAAGATAAAAGAATTCTTATGCATTTGTAGCTTTGTGATTGCATTTTTTTTCAAATCAGTCTCAAATTCTCTTCAGTTTGAGTACTCATGAATACGTAAAGAAGAAAAACAAGGTCGTGCATGCTTTCAAAATTTAAATTCAAACATATAAAGAAATATTCTAATGCAATTATTTTGTATCAATGGTTTTGATTGGATGACAATAAGCGTTAAATTCTCTATCTCCCTGTCTGTAACTAAGGAAGCCGACATTTTGAATTCTGGAATGTATTGACACGTAATTTCTCCAATAATACGCAAAAACAAAACTCGCATTTGCACCTAGAAATCTTCTTTTTATCAAATTTTATTACATTTTGAGGCGGATAAGAAGCCAGAAAACGCCCGGTGTTTACGTTTGACACCGGAAGCATACCTATGACGTCACCTAGTTTAGGCGCCAAAGAAGATAACATGATTTCGCGGAATTTTCGTTCAATGAAAATTTTACAATGAAATAATGACTAAAATTTCATGATTTGTTTATTTTGCATTAGAAAAGAGATAACTGTATTGTATTTGAAGCTTTGCCGATGTTCATCGGTAGTTTTACTGTCGCAAATATCCGTTTACCTGTCTCCGCAAAGGTTCAAATACAATACAGTTATCTCTTAGTTCTCTGGGTTGTGGTAGTCTCTTTTCAACTTGCTATTTGTTTTATAAATAACCTTAAATTATAAATACTTATTTTGCATAGGAATATCCCTGTAAAATGTTGCATCTTGCACAATAAATCATTGATAACGTAATCAATTGTATTTGCAACTGGTTTGGTTAAGTGAATTTGAATATATCACGAGCCAGGTGATGTTTAGATAACAAAGTTTTTTGTTTAAAAAAACTAAATACTTGATAGATAATTAAAACTCGCAAGTTGATCACAGACGACCAAAACATGCTAAAAAAAACAATATAGAACGTTTCTCAGAGAGCTATAAGTATACGGCAAACCGAATTACCAACAAAAAATAACTATGTTTCACCTCATCAGTCTTTGTTTCAATACTCAAGGCAACAAAAAGAAAAATAACGGAAATACAGAACTCCAAGGAAAATTCAAAACAAAAAGTCCCTTATCAAATGGCAAAATCAAAAGCTAAAACACATCGAACGAATGGAAAACAACTGTCATATTCCTGACTTGGTACAGGCATTTTCTTATGTAGAAAATGGTGGATTTAACCTGGTTTTATAGCTAGCTAAACCTCTCACTTGTATGACAGTCGCATAAAATTCCATTATGTTGACAACAATGTGTGAACAAAACAAACAGACATTAAAGGTAAAAATGTCAAAAATAGGGGTACAGCAGTCAATATTGTGTTATAATCTTAATCGCTATAAAAACAAACAAATATGTCAACAAAGAAAAACAAAATGGCATATAGACAAAGCACATAAGAAAAAATGAAAGACTACATAACTTGCGTTATTTTTAGTTTTTATATTTGTAGGACTCAAATCTATGATGGGTTCCAGATCTATGGCAAATATGAAACAATCGCCATACATATCCAAGATCTATGGCAGGTTTTTTTTGTCATCTCTAAATCTATGGAAGATTTTGAAAATTTGAAACACCTAATGCGTTGTTCGTATACCGACTTTAACATGTTTAACTTACTACCAGCTTTTTTCGTTTCCTTTCGACACTACAACGGGTGCCGCATACAGTGGTTTTTGTTTTCCTTATACTGACTTGACACGGTTGTACGGGCTTACTTTTCTGGAGCACCTGATCTTACTTCTCGTTTTTTTTTTAAATTCGCATTGTTCATGCTTTGATTTTTGTTGTTTTCGGTGTTTGTGTTTTGTGTGTGTTTCCCCTCCTTGTTTTCTTGTCCTTGTTTGTGTTTCTGGTGTTGCTTTGTTCATCGATTGTACAAATTTTTACTGTAATTTCGGTTTGCGTTTTTGCTTTTCTTCCATAACTTTAGTTATGCTATGCTCGTTTCCTGTTTTCTTTTATCCCTATGGTACTCCTGAAATTTCTTAACATAATTTACAGCATTTTTTAACTATATTACAGCGACTACCTGTTCTATTGTAGCAAGTTATCGTTTTTAGAATTTGGAAACTAAAACAACAAAAAAATAACTATTTACATCATTTTCAGCTCTATTTATGTCAAAAACCTACTGAAAGTAAGATTTCCTGAGAAAGCCACTTGTTTAAGGCAAGTCATTGGTCAGATATGTATTGACTTGTCCTCCATTTGCAGAAAATCTGCCATAGATTTGGGACTAGAAAATCTGCCGTAGATAAGGACTTAATATCTGCAAAACATTTTGAATGGCATGAGTTCATCTTTACTATAGATTTGGAATCTGTCCTAAATTTGGATCCCATCATGGATGCGAGTCCTACATATATATAATAAGCAAAACATTTGTCTTTAACCAGTCACCTACTGGTCTATTTGAATCATAGTTGTATACTTCACTGCATCATAAGTGATTTGATATTGGCATATCATTCTGTTATTTTCAATATTACAATGTATGCTTTATAAGTGTTTCTTGTTTCTCGTTTTTTACATGTTTTATATAAATTAAACCGTTGGTTTTCTTGTTTGAATTGTTTTACACTTGTCATTTTGAGGCACTTTATAGCTTGCTGTTCGGTGTGAGCCAAGGCTCCGTGTTGAAGGCCGTACTTTGACATATAATTGTAAACTTTTTATACATTGTGACTTGGATAGAGAGTTGTCTCATTGGCACTTATACCATACTTATACTTATACTTTCTATGTATGTTGGCGTTTGTTTTTGTTGCACTTCGGTGTTCCTATTCTTCCTTTGTTTTTCTCTTATAGTTGATGTGTTTCTCTCGATTTTGGTTTGTAACCCGGATTTGTTTTTTTCTAAATCTATTTATGACTTTTGAACACTGGTATACTACTGTTGCCTTTATATACCACATCTTCTTATTTATATTTATAACTCAGTTTGGAAAAATTAAAGTTTAAGCATTTCCAATTCAATTTCTGAATATGCATGCAACATTCACCACTCGACTTAAAGTAAGCAACAATCAATTAATCAATTATGTACACTTACCTTTCTTCTTCTGGTCTGGTTAGGCTGAAAAGCACAAAGGAGAAGCAAAACTACTAGAACATGCCTCATTGTTCAAGTTTAATAACTATTCGGACAACTTCTTAAAACTTTACTGACATCATAACTGGTGTACAGTATGACAACTTATTCGACAATTGACATGACTAATATGTTCATTTGGATGTGACATGATTTTTAAATGAATTTGTTATATGAAAAAGCTATTAACAATTTACGAACTTGAGGAAGAAACAAATGTTAATTTAAGGGAAGACGTTTCATTTTGACAATTTAAAATTGATATTAGCTACACGAATTAATAAATGTAAAATAGTATGGTCACATCATGGTGTAGAATCTATTTTGGAACGGTGTCCGATTAATAGGCATGTAATATTCAAAATCAATTGAAGAAACGTTTATGATAATATCATAGGTACCTTTTTGGAACCCCTGTACAGTTATAACTTCACACATATGTTTTATTTGAAAGTGCAAAAGGTAACTTATAAATTTAACCATTTTAATACGACGTTTCTAGAACAAACTTAATGTAGTACAAATGTACTTAGTACTATTTTGAAACCACGTAGATATTACAATTTTACAACTAAATCATGCACTGTACAATATTTAAGATTTTTTTTATATTTTCCATGTAAGCCTTAAGCTAAGGTTTTGGTATTTGACAGGATGAATAAACTCATCATATGCATTGTTTACTTTTCTATGCAAAAAAGCTAGTATATATTTATAATAAGATATCGTATTTGTTTTCATATTTTCTGGGATAAAACGAAAGATTAATCAACTGAATTGATCCCAGATGATACCTGGGGCAAAGGAAATAGTCATACGCTTTTAATCTAAAGGGTACTAATTCTCCGCAAAACTGTGCGGGTGCATAAGTAGGCAGCCAAGTCCTGTCAGCTGTGATGAGTTGTCCAGGGGGCGTGTCATGCACTCTGTGCATTAATCAAACATTAAAACACCTCTTTGAGAGAGCTTTAACGTGGACGGCCTGTATAAAAGACAAATGTCGCTGCTATTAAACATATCCTCATATTCGAGTATCAATCCAAATGCTTGCCATTGATCAAACATTTCCGACTTGACCACTTTGCAGACCCTCACGTATTGCATACGTAGTTAATCTCTACTTGTTCTCATACTGAATATACATGGATAGCTTGTCGCAGAACGGTAGATCAACAATAATCAATCAACAACTGAACCGACAGAACATATCGCCAAATGTAGAAGACAGCTTATATTCTACGTTATAAAAGAAAAGACAAAAGATATCAAAGGAACATTTAAATTCACAAGTCTGAAACAAACTGACAAAGTCATGGCAAAACACGAAAAAGACCATAAGACTAACAACGATATACAATACACAACATACAAAACTAAAGACTGAATAACACGAACCCTACGCAAAGTCAGTGATGATCTCAAGTGCTCCGGAAGGGTAGGCAGATCCCGTTTATATAGAGTATCGAACAATGGCAATCAATGAAGAAATCAAATGTGCACGGATGAATGATCAAAAATACCAATGAAGAAACATGCAATAAGGAATTGCCGTCAAAGCTCTTTTGTTTTTCAATTAATACCATGGTGTCATTAAATTTAATTACACATAGAAATGAGAATGGAAACGGGGAATGTGTCAAAGTTTTAACAACCCGACCAAAGAGCAGAAAACAGCCCAAGGCCACCATAACTGACATCATAAGCGAGGTTTGAATTTCGGCTAAGTCTGTTTTTACCAAGCTTAATGTTGAAATAAGAAAACAAAATCGTGAAAAAGCGTGTCACCTTTTTTATTAATTATTTGAAGGCAATATTTTTCAACGTGGCTGCCTAATTATACATCTCGCGAAGTCTTTAAACCCTTAAGATGGAGAAACTGAGACACATTCCTAAACCACGGTGTGTCTTCTGGGATCAGTTCAGTTGTTCAGTTGTTGAGTCCGTCACTTTATCTCAGACAATATGATAAAAAATGCGCTTAATAATTTTGTATATCATATATGCCAGCTATTGGCATAGAAAAGTAAAAAGCGATTTTTTTATTGATTGTTTATGCATTCTGTCAAATACGAGACCCTTAGGTGTAAACTTACGTAGAGATAAAAAGAAAATCCGAAATATTGTACAGTTCAAGATTGTCATTATTTGGTTTTACAAATTTAATATCTACATGTGTTACATATACTTGTAGTATTAAGCAACATATGGACACATTTTGTCCATTTGAGGAATGACAACAAAAATTTAAGATTCTCAATGTTTGATTGAGAGAAGAGACGAGACGTTATGTATAAACTCCGCCATTAGTTAAGCACCACTCATGTTTTAAATAATAGGAAATTTTCAAATCCAAACAACTTTTTTGAATAACAGTCAATCGTGTTGACACTGGTAGAATTAAATGACACTTTGTGTAATACAAAAAATATTAAAAAAAAAGTGTTTTTATGCTTTCTGCTTTCAGTTTTCCGTAAAGAAACAACAAGTTAAAATTACAATAAAAAGTTTGGTTATCATTTTCATTAATTTCAAATGATGATACAATTTTCAACCTCTCGTAAAACAATCAAGTATTCTTTATCGGATCATTAAGGTTAATAATGTTAATATTGTGTATAGCTTCTGGGCATCCGTTGTAGATTTAAAAATTGTCTGTTCATTCCTTACCCCAGTCGTCGTAGCTTATAACGTGGAAATATCTTTGCTCTGCATTCCACAGCGACCCTCAATTCTGGTATTGTTGCATATGTTGGTTGTTTCTGGTTCAGTTTGCGGTCGTTACGGTCATACATGTTTACATGGTTCATTTGGGTTCATATCAGTTGCCATGACCGGCTCTCGAAAAGTGTCAATTGATTCCGAAGTCAAGTGTGCGTCAACAACTCGTGCACGATCAGGTCTTGCATTGTCATCTTGACTGGTCTTTCAGATAACACTTGATTTTCAAAATGAGGCGATACAATGGTGTTCAGGTTGTCATCCCGGAATCTCTGTCTATTAAGATGCCGTCAATAACATGCATTTCAAGCTTACAGTCATGGTAAAAACACCGCCGCCACCAAAAAATGTTGTACCAGGAATATTATTGTTCCGATATAAGCTGTGTTTTCCCCCAAAACACGTGTTCTGCTCAAAAACTGTAAAGCAAAAAACTCATAAGACAGATTTTTAAAATCTGTTTTTGAACAATTATAATTTGGAAAATAAGTCAGAAAATCAGATAAAAAGATACAACACTATAACAATGTTTTCCTCCGAGAATCCGGTGTCCAATTAGATGAATATGCTTATCATAATTAAATGAGAAGTGTGGAATGGTATACACATGATACTGTTATTGACTGGGTTTGATGTCAACAGCTGTTTTGTTTGATCCCAAAACTGATCTGTTGTCCGAAGCGGTTCGTTCTGAGGGTCAAACCACGGCTGTTGACCGCAAATGCAGTCTATAACAATTTTGGTATATAACCACCCTATATGCAGTTTTATTTGTCATTCCGTTACATATTTTTGCCGTAAAAGAGGCTCAAATTATAAAAAAAATGCTTTGAAAATTAATACAGCTGACCAAAAATCTATACCATTTTCAATTAGTACAGAAACAGACAGTTTACTTAAATAATATGAGTTCTTCAAATTCATTTTAAACTAAAAAAAATTACCACCAGAAAGGTACGTAAAAATCCTTTTAACTTTTGTTTAGTTACGATGGGCTTTTTAATAGAAATCTTGATGATATTTCTGATTTTCGTCTAAGTACTTAACCTATGCTCATGTAATTCATTTATAAAAAAAAACACGGGAAGAATAAATCCGACCTTAAACAGTTGTTACAAAACCTGGATGCTGCAAAAGGAGAACTCGTCATAAGTGGTAGTTCGTCGTTTGTAATTTAAATATTACGGAAAAAAACAATAGTACGTGTTCGCTGAATAAACTATTACTTAATAAAAATAAAGGGCAATCTTATTGAAAAGAGATTCCAACAGGTATAATAAACTTGTTTTCTTGCTTACAAAAATGTAATGTCGAAAGACATTTGGGACGACGGAAAAGCTTGATCGATCATTTGTGCATTTGCTCCCTCAGGACCCGATGTTTGAAAGTCTTTGATCCATTACTAAATTATACTAAGTCCAATATTAAGTTATATCTAGAAACGTCGAATGCAAATGATTTAATTGAAAACTTTCCTTTGTACTTTGAAATGAAAAACCTTAGCGATGTTAGGGGACATTTATTTGATATTCTGTCAGGGAAAGGGTTAGGAGTATTTTTTAGAATTCACTTTTCATTTGCATCTGTTGCAACGCATGCTCATTCATTTCTGCAGAAAATCAATTTGCACTTTTGTACACGATAAAATGCTGTATTTTGTGTTGCACAATATTTATTTTCATCCAAGATAATGCGAGATTATTTAAATTCATCACTACAATACAAGGATATTCATTTTGAAACCCCCCCCCCCCCCCCACCCCCTCCCACCCCCAGCAGAAAATCAAGTGGTTCTCCCCTGATAAAGGGGATACAGAAGGCTAACTTGAAGATTATTTCTGAAACTTTTTTTAAATCGATTTGAAACATCACATGGTTATATATTAGACTTTTTTTCTAAATTAGATTCTAAATGCTTTAAACATGATATGTCAAAACAGATTTTCGTCAAAATGAAACGTCTTTCTCTGAATTGACTTTTTTTTTGTTAATTTTTAAATTGTTAATAGCTTTGTACTTGATACAATAATATAACGAATTCTTTGGGGGATAACTTGTTAATCAAAATATGATATATAATGTTACATCTGTTGGTGATTTAAAGTTGTCGAATTAGTTGTTAAACACTAGCAATGAGGTCTGTGCTAGTAGTGTTGATTATCGCTTCCGCAAGTCAGGCAAGTAATCCTTACCTCAGCAGAAGAAGTAAGGTAAGTATTTTTAGAAGCTGTAATTGACTGATTGATTGATTGTTACTTGCTTAAACTCCAATAGCAAATATTTCATGCATATTCTTTAAACTTTAACTTTGACTAACTGTAATAAAAAGCGTATTGAAAATAACAGATACATTATGTCGATATCAAATCATCTTATAACGCAGTAAAGTCTACAACAATGATTAAATTATGTATACCATCCAA